CAGAAACGCACACACATGAGTGACTTTAACCCCAGGCAGGCTGTGATAAATGCTACACCCAGAAGCCCAAACCGTGCTGAGTAAGAACAGGGTGGCGAGGGCTGGGGGCTAACCTGAAAGGAAGGAGCTCTGGGAAAGGGGGAGTGGGGGCTGGAGGGGGGCTGGGGTTCCCCCAGCTCTGTCCTCTCCTCACCGTGTGGGAGCAGCACAGAGCTGCCTGGCGGCCCCTCCTGCCCTCCTGATTCCCCCCAGGGTCTCCCTGTGCTGCCCTTGGCCTCCCGCCCTATTCAGCTATCACCTGCCTGCAAACCCTGCCAGCCTCCTGGCAGCATCCCTGGCTGTGGGGGGCACCTGGAGTCTGAGACCCCCACAGCCTCATGGCAACATGTCCAAAGGAGGGAACGGAGCCGGGGCCCTGGCCCCCAGGCCCACACTCTCGCACAGACACACCCCTGCCTGCGCTCTGGGGCTCCTATCTCAGCCGCCCTCCCCCTGCCTGTCCTGCCACAGCCTGGGTCTCTGGGACTCTACAGGCATCTTGTATCTCCTGGCCTTTCTTGGCATTTTCCTTGGACCTGTCTTCTTTCCTGGTCTCTTTTTAAGTGAGACCCCCCCTTCCCTTCCTGCTTCTCTGGGTTCATTTATTTCCCTCTGCTCTGTGTGGGTGTCTGTCTTTGTCTCTATTTCTCAGCGTCACCCATGCCCCCGGCAGCCCCCCTCAGCCTGTGTGAGCGTGTGTGGCCTCCTTGGCTTCCCTGCCTGTCTCCACGATGGCTGCGCAAGCCTTGCTCGCCACATCTGTGATGGTGTCTGAGGACACGGAGGGAGCCCTTCAAAAGTGGGAGGGAATTCACTTAAAAGCACATGTGTGGACTGGAGCTGCCGGGAGGCAAGGATGTTTGCTCGATGCCGCTGCAGTGGGCACGTTCTGGCTGTGCCCAGGCCCCTTCCTGATGCCGCCGTGGCTCCCTGAGCCCCACAGCCCCATCCTGCAGCCCACCGTGCCCCTGCATTCCTGTTTGGTCCTGGTTTTATTTCCTAGAAGTGGGGTGCCGGCACACAGATGGCACTTCAATTCCACACCATTTCCAGTGTAAGTGCACTCTGTGTCACACATGGTGGAAGACCCAGGACCTTGGAGGGACAAGTGGGTTCTCGGATTTGTATGTCCTTTTTGGGCCACTGGTACTGGTTCTTGGTGCCTTCCTGACACTCAAGGACATGCCCAGTGCCTCCTTTTGGTTGTCACACCACCAGGGTCCCTCTGTCCCTCCTGCTGTGCCCTGTCTGGTGTCCCCTCATTGCCCACTTTCTAGGCTTTTTCCTCAGCCATCCCCCACCAGTGCATCAGAACCTTCTAGAGCTCTGCTCCCCCTGCCCGGCCCTGCTTTGTGCCACACGCCCTCGTCCAGGGAGCCTGCCAGGACTGACCCCAAGTCCTGCTCCCAGCCCAGTTCCTGCCCTTCCTGCAGGGAGAACCCCCTCCTGCCATCCACCCTCCTGCCCCGTCTCGCCCGACCTGGGGCAGGGGGTGCTCTGCCCCCTTTCCTTGATGGGGGTTGAGAAGGTAGGATGACTCAGGCATTTTCTCATGCTCACTCTGTCCAGCAGGAGACTTCCCTGGAACACCTGCTGTGTGTCCAGCACCAGCTCTGTGCTAGGGGACGGAGCCAGGAGCTCTGAGTGGCACAGTCCAGACTCAAGGCGTTCCCTTGGCATGGGCCAGGGCATGGGCTGTGCAGCGTGGGCCATGCCGAAGGGGAGGTGGGGAGTGAGGACAAGGGGCTCTAAGGGCATGGAGGCAAGTCATGGAAGACTTCACAGAGGAGGTGATGATTTGAGCCCCAGGGGTTGGGGAGGGAGCAGTGTCCACCAAGGAAGGGCCCGTGCAAGGGCTTGAAGGGTGACAGAAGCTTGGAGTGGGCAGAGTAGAGAGAACAGGGCTTGGCAAGGGCAGTTTTGGATCCGGGCTTTCCCCAAATCAAGAGCCAGGTTGGGACACCCCCCAGGCATCAGCACTCTGCCTTGGGTTCTGTCTTGCCTGCAGGGGCTGTTTAGGGGCTGGGAAATCTGGCCTGTGACTTTCACAGGCTCAGAATCTAGACTGCCTTTCTGTTGAGTAAAATTCCCGAGACCCCCTTCATTTTCCCTCCACTCAGGACTCTCTTTCAGGGTCATTGCTTCCATCCCCCTGCCTCCAGACTAAATGAAGGGAATCTTACTCCAAAATCCCCAGAATGACAGATGGCACCTTCTTTGTCATGTCCCTGCTCACGTTTCTGGTGGTGCCTCTAATTATCTACCTGCCCAGTAGAAATAAGGGCCCCAGCTGCCCTTTGGTGGGTACATGAAAGCAAAGGTACTGGGCCTGCCATGCGCACCATCCCACTTAATTTTCACAGAATCCAGGAGGTAGGCGTACTTTACCATCTGTACTTTACCAATGAGGAAATGAGGCTTGGGGAGTAGTATGTCACTTGGCCAAGGTCAAGGTTAGGAAGCGGCAGAGGCGCTGTGCAAATCTAACCTGTCTCCTAAACCTGTGCCCTTAAAAAGGGCTCCTGCGATCCTTGGTTCCAACTTGTCCTTGGGCAGGTGAGCAGACAGCGGCGGGAAGGGGCAGTGCGTGCCCAGGTCACACCACCCCTCCATCCAGCGAGGTTCTCATCTCTGACTCTGATTACAAGAGCTTCCCACCTTTGTCCTGCCGCGGGGTCATCTGCCTCTTTGCTCCCAGTGGGCAAGGAGCCAGCTTCTAGCTGTCCTCTGGACACCATCAGACAGGGGGGTGTCCAGGCCCCACACAGGCAGGCTGTGAATCTGAATTCTGTCTCTGAGCCGGGGCCCACAGGCCACCCCACTCCCAGGCCCTTGACTTGGACTCCAGGGCCATGGGAAGGAGAAACGTGAGTGTGGGGAGCTTGCAGCCTGTAAGCCCGCACTGGAGAAATGCGCAAGGATATGAATAAATTTGAATAATAATGAGGGCAATGTCTGAATTAATAATGCTGGCGGCTCACCTGACCTATCCCCTCCCCCAGGATCTCAGCACCTGTTACCCTAATCCCTCAAACTGTGGGTGAGCCTTATCTTTTGCTTGAGAAACCACGAATGAATGGGCTGTCAGGCCAGCAGAGTTGGGGAGCTGCTTGTGGAGTGTGCAGGGGGACCCTGTTTCTGACTTCCTGACCCTCTGCCGACACAGAGCTGGAAGGGTACACTTAGTCGAGAGTAAAGATCCTGCCTCATCGCATTGAATCCTGTGTCGGCCCTGCCCCCTCTGTTGGTCCTCTTTGTGTGCAGCGACCAAGGTGGATGCCAAGTGTCCAGGGAGATTCAGAGGGAGCAGACAGATGGCCCTTGGCCTTGGGGAAGAGGTTCCTGCTCGGGTAGAACGGGCAGGGCAGACACCCCCACCCACCAGCTGCCTTCTACCCCATGACAAACAAAAACATGACCATGGACTCTGAGAGCTCGGGGCAGCACATCCCATGGGTCAAGCTGTGACAGCAGGGCTGAGGGATGGGACAAGCTTGTATTTGCCCAAGGAGCTAAGGGATCAATCTAGGAGGGCTTCCTGGAATGTGTGGAGGTGGGGGTTGGGGGCAGGCTTGGAAAGAAGGGAAGAAATGGAGCTGGAGGAGGAAAAATAAGGGAGAGGATGAAACTAGGGTCCCGTCCCTGGTGGCTCAGGGGAGGTCTTGGCATGGGGAGGAGCACGTGCTCAGTCTGCTTATGCACTGGAGTGGCGGGGACCAGAGAAATTTTGGAAAAGGTTGGATTTGGGGATTGTGGTCTCTGCAAAGACTTGGGAGCTGGAAGGGAGACAAGAGGGGGTGTCCCCTGGGTTCTGGGCAAAGCTGAACTTGGTTGCAGTGGCGTGACAGACTGGGGATACAGCCAGGAAGCCCCCAGACCCTTCCCTTGGCTGTCTCCCAGCCCCCCAATCCCTCTTCCCTACGGCGGGGCAGAGGAGCCCCATGGTCCCGGCTCCCACAGCTGTGCAGAGTGCCCAGGCCTTGCGCCGTCACCGTCAGGTGGGCCAGTGCCGGTGCTGGTGGGGGGTACGAGCTGTGGGGGAGCAGAAACCCACAGTCCAATTCCCTGCTCCAATTAGGCCTCACAATTACAGGCAATTACTCTGCGGCTCTCTAATCAAATGCTCCCGGCCGAGCTGCCAGCCAGGCAGCCAAGTGTGGCTCCCACAGTGCGGAGGCTGAGCGTGGGCAGGAGTGTCTGCGTGTGTGCCCACACACCCCAAGTGCTGGGAAGCAAGGGGCCAGGGCACAGAACAGGACAAGTGTGCAAGGGCGGGTTCAGAGCTTTGGGTTACACCAGCATCCTGGAAGCTTCTGTATACGCATGGGACATGCAGACATGCCTGCCCCCTGGAATCTGCTCTGATGCACTCGCTGGGTGCATACCTGGGGGAAGTGTACCCAGCATAGTCGCACCAGTGTGGTGTTACCTCATGTGGGCTCATAGGACACATGTCCGAGCAGGAGTGTGGTGGTGTGTTCTGCCCCAAGGATGGAGGGTGACTGCGACATCAGCAGCAGCATTGTTACGGATGCACTACCCATTCACATGGGAGTGGGGGGAGGCAGCAGGTGGCAGAGAAACAGCCCAATACCAGGAGCCCTGAGGCCCAGGGTCGAATCCCAGCTCTGCCCTTAACGTATTGATCATTCGTCTTCCTGGACCTCAGTATCCCCATTGTAAAGAGAGCTCGTTGAACTAGCCCGGCGTCTAAGGCCTGCATGTAACACTGCCACTTTCTCTGAGCACTTCCTCCCCTGAAGCCCATGCCCTGGGCCACAGGGAGGAGGGGAGCAGGGCGAGTGCGGGACATCTTGGAGGGAAGGGGCTGGGGCTGAGGGGGGCAGGGACTGGAGCTCCACCCTCCCAGCCCTGGGCTTCTGGCCGAGTGCAGAGTGGGAGGGGGAGCCTGGGAGGGCGGTCTCTTGATGCCTTCCTTCTCCCGAATCTCCTTTACCCAGTGCCCAATTTGGCTTTGCCAGGGACCCAGACCCGCTTCAGCCAGGAGCCAGCCGACCAGACTGTGGTGGCCGGCCAGCGGGCTGTGCTCCCCTGTGTGCTGCTCAACTACTCGGGGATTGTGCAATGGACCAAGGACGGGCTGGCACTGGGCATGGGCCAGGGCCTCAAAGGTGAGTGGGGCCGCCCAGCCAGCCCAGCATCCACGCTGTCCTATCCCCGTGTCCCGTCCCCTCCCCTGGACTCCTGGGCTCAGCCTCCTTTCATTCCTCCCCACAGGCCTCCCCTCTCCTGCAGGTGAGGCTCAGCCTCCTTTCCTCTCCCCTGAGCTCTGTCTCCACTGCTTTCCCAACCCAACGCTCTGCCTTCCCTCCCGGCTGTGGACTGGTTCAAGAAAGGTCAAAAATGGGAAGCCTGAGAGATCAAGGGAAACCAGGAGACCTTTACACAAGATGGCTGCAGACAGACACACAGACACCAGGAGAGGGGCTGCAAGCAGACTGAGTCAAAGCAAGAGGCGCTGGGGGCCAAGAGTCCTGCGAAAGCTGGCGGGTCTGCAGCCTGCAAACGCCTCCCGCAGGCTGGCTCTGCTCCCGGCTCCCCCGCCCCCTGCCCAGGCAATGTCTGCTCGGAGGCCAAAAATTCATTTTAATATCAGCCTGGGCACTTACTTATTTATTCATACAACAGCCTTTATTAAGCACTTTTAGCCAGTGCTGAAGCAACATAATGAGTCAGTTAAAACACAAACAAAACAAACTCCTATATTTCAAAGCAAGTAGATCCTTTGTAAAGGTGGCCTGGGTTGTAAAGAGCGGAGGAGGCAGGGTTCAGACCTGGGTTCCTGTCCTGCCTCTACCACCTACCAGCAGCTGGGTGAGCTTAGGGACGCCTGGGCCTCAATTTACCATTCTGTAAAATAGGTATAATCATGGCATGCCTGGCTTCCTGCTTCTAAGTGGCTTTTGTAAGTTTCAAACCCAACGACAATATAGCCATTGCCCACTGCAAAGCCGTGTGATGTAAGAGCATAGGAGGGACTGTATATTTTTGTCCTTTTGTTTTGTCCAGGGGGTTGAGATTGTTTGCTGCGGGTTCCGCATGTTAGTACAGGTTGGGGAGATTTGTCGGTGTGGGGCCATCTGTGTAAAGGAAGGAGATGGGTCGGTGGCTCTATTAGTGAGAGAAAGAGAAAGAAACTGGGAGAGAGGGATCAATAGATATGGAGTGAGAAGAATCAATAGCCTCTGGACAGAGGCAGATAATGGAGGGGAGCAGAGGGGAGAGGGAGTGGTGGGTGGGAGCGAGGGGCAAGGAGGGCCAGGGAGCCTGAGCTGGAGAGGGCCAGGGGCTCAGAGGCCCACCTGCCGCAGCCGTAACTGCTGCAGGCCCTGGACTCTCCGGTTCCGGGGCCCCTTCGTGGCGCTGGTGGGGTCTGCCTCCTCCACCTGTCCCACAGCTAGTGAAGGAAGACCTCAGCCCGCCGTGGGCTTCCCTCTGGCCCCAGTGAGCTCATGTGTGTGCCGCGGTGCCCTATATTTCCTGGTGCCCACGTGCCCTCCCCCCTCTCTCCCTCTCCTTTTCTCCCTGCTGTCTGCCTTTTTGTTTCCTCTTTCTTTCCTATTATGAGAGACATTTGTCTGCAAACAGCTCTGGAGATTTCATCTGCTCCCGCTCCGCTCGCCCTCCGCCCTCCCCGCTGTCCTCCCCCTGCCTCACGGCTGCCTGCCCCCCTGTAGGAGGTTGTGATGTCACAGTGTCTGCATCTGGGACCTCATCCTCGTCCCCCGCACCTGGGGTCCCCGAGAGGGCAGAGGGAGGAGTGCTGGCCCGGAATGGGCCAGGACCCTGGCCTGGGGGTGACAGGCGGGGAGGACGCCCAGATGCAGGGTGGGGCACTGCGGTCCAGGCTGGTTCTCAGACTGGAGCGTGGCTCACCCGGGGTCTCTCTGTTCCTGCAGCCTGGCCACGCTACCGGGTCGTGGGCTCTGCAGACGCCGGGCAGTACAACCTGGAGATCACAGATGCCGAGCTGTCTGATGACGCTTCTTACGAGTGCCAGGCCACGGAGGCCGCCCTGCGTTCCCGGCGGGCAAAACTCACCGTGCTCAGTAATGACCCGGGCCTTCGCCTGTCTCCTGGCCTGCCAGCCGCTCCCCTTCCTGTTTCCTCTCACCCTTCCCATTTCTCTCTCTCCTTCCTGGTTTCACGACTGACCCCACAGTCCCCTCCACAAATCCTTCTTTAAACTTCCAAAGCCAAGTCCACACGGAAGAAGCCAAACAGGCATGTGGGCACCCCCGGCAAGACCTGGGGGGCGTGCGAGGTGCAGCCCCTTCTGCCCAGCCTGGGCCCTGCTGTCTGCACATAAGCTCTACCGCTGCACCCCCAGGGAGGTGTGGGGGTGGTGCAGACCCAGCGCCCCTTGCCCAGCCTCCCCTGGCAGCCAGCCTTGCCAGCGAGGGAGCCTCCCTACTCCTCTCCCTCTGCTGCCTCCTCTCCTCCCTCCGTGTGTGCTCAGGCCTCCCCAGGGACCAGGGCAGCCTGGGAGGGAGGGACCCGGAGGGCTGAGAGTGGGGTTGCTGGGCCAGGGTCCTGGCTGCGTCTGGTTGGGCTGCTGGAGGAGGGCACGTCTCTTGGAGGCCCGCTGCCACCCACAGCACAGAGCAGATGTCCCTCTATGGTGACACCTGGGGCCATGTGCATACGAGGGACTCTCTCCCCCAGAGGGCAGCAGTGAGGCCAGCTCGGCCATGCCCCTGCCTCCCGCCACGCCCCTCTTGCAGTACCTCCGTCTCCCTCAAGCTCCTGTGGTCTCTCTGGGCCTCTGCCTCTGTTGTGCTTCTGTTTCTTGACTGTCTGCCTGTGACCCTTTCTCTTCCCTTTGTCATTGTCTCTGCCTCTCTTTTTTTGCCCCCATTTGATCTGTCCTGCTTCCTCTCTTTTCCTGCCCCTAACCCCAAATCCTGGAAGTGGGGGGAGCCCCCAGGAGGATGGGAGGAAGGAGATGGGACAAGGCTGAGTGACCTCACACACAAGCTTTTGCTTGCAGCAGGCGGGAGGGGGCGCGGAGACCCCAGGATGCTGCCTGGTGTGGTGGGAAGAGGTCTGGGCTGGGGGTCAGGAGACCGGGGCCGTATGGGCACCATGACCCTGAAGAGGTCACGGCTTCTGGATATCAGTTTTCTCATTGGTAACATAGCATAATGACGCCAGCCTTTTCTTAGTAACTGTCACCTCGTTAGGCGTTAAACTGTGAAGGGCTGGGCAAATTCGAGGTGTCAGAGTGAGGACAGTGGGGACCCAACAGCCAATTTCTTCGGGTGTAAAGGCCCTGAAGGACTAGGACTCCAGGCTGGTGACTTATTTTTCCTCTCTGGTGAAGGCAAAATGGGAAGAATTAGCAAGGAGCAGGGTTCAGAATGGGGAACAAGTTAGTTGACCACTAGGGGTGGGCATGGCACACCACAACATTGTCTTCCATCTGTCGCTGGGGCATGTGGAGCCCCCAGGCTGGACCAGGCATTCCAAGAGAACCATGAGGTTCTTGAAAGAGCTTCCCTCTTCTTTTTCCCTCCATAACTACCTGTTTCGGGTCCTGGAAGGTGCTACTTCTGATCCGGAGAACTCCCATCCTAACGTGGAGACCCTGATATTCTCCCTTCCTCCTCCCACCCCAGCACAGAGACAGAGAAATAAAGAGATGGGGAAAGGCCCACTAAGCCCCTAGGTATTGCAGGAACAGGGCTTCCAGTGGCTTGGTTCATTCAAGGAAGGCTTCCTGGAGGAGGAGACTATCCATGGGATCCTAGATGGATTAGTATCTTGTTAAAAATCTTGCAACTCAGTGAGAAAGAGCCATATGAGTGGGGCAGCTGGCTGGCCCGTTTGTAGGGCATAGTCGGTGCTGGGTCAGTGCTGACAGGGTGAGCCTTCCTAGCAGTTTGGGTGGACGAGGGGAGCAGAGAGAGGCCCCCAGGGTAAAAGAGACGAAAGGTCAGTCTGGCTGCTTCTTTCCCCTCACTCTCTCCCTTCCTTTGTGTCTCCTCGACTCTCAGACTCCCTGCCACTGGCAGCCACATGGAGGCGGGAAGAAGGCAGGATATTTCTCACACCCTCCCTGCCCACATGCAGCCTCTGCTCACGGCAGCCCAGGGTCCCAGAGACTGGGCAGGGCAGGGCCGAGAGTAGGCCACGTCCAGGGCCTGGCATCAACCTCTCGGCACGTGGCCGACCCTGCAAACCCCCACCGCACCTGCTCAGTGGCCTCCCCAGCCCCACCCAGGCCAGCCTGCTTCACAGAATGGCCTTTCACTCCCATGGCAGACCTTGAGGACGCTGCCTCCCACCCGCCCTCAAACACAACTAGACGTCATGCCGATCTGCAGGCCCCCCGCCCCTCCTCACTCAGGCCCACCCCAGCAGCTGGAGTGCAGTGGTGATGAGCGGGCCTCTGGGCTTGGCAGGCCTGCTGCGTCCCCACCCTGCCATTTAACTCTCCCGCCTGCCTCCTAGCACGTTTGCTTAGCTCCCCAGCCTCAGTGCCTTATCTGCAAATTGGGGTTAGTGGTTTTTGCCGGGGAAGGATTAATGAGATATAATTTGTGGTGGGGATTAAATGAAATCATATACAGGAGGCACTGAGCTGACACACGATAAGCATTCAATGAACGGGAGAGATAATGTCGATCACATCAGTTTATAGTTGGCTTCTCATCCTTGATCTCATTTTGTTTTCAGAATAACAACTCTGGGGAATAGATGTCCACGCTGTTTTTAACAGCTTACAAACAAGGAAACTGAGGCCATAGACTGATGTACAAATTTGTCTTGTCCCAAATCACAAAAATGCATTCATTCACAGACAAACACATGGACACATGCCCTCTAATTGGTGGCTGAGCAGATACCCCAGATACAAAGAGAAAGGTGGGCTAGTGACAGAGGTCACAGATGGACAGTCCTTCCCTAAACAAAGGGAGACAGCTCACGTTACAAAGGAAGGGTAAGACCCCGTGTGTGCACAGGTGTCCCCGCTCGTCCAGGCCCCTCCCATCTGGGTGTGGTAGCAAAGTGGGGCCTTGGAGGGACCTATACCCACCAGAGACCCTGAGCAGGTGCACCAGCGAGCGAAGAAGAAGAGCCAGGGATTCCGTGGTGACTGGCAGGCAGGAGTTGCTGGCTCTTGGCTGAGCGGTAGAGCAAACGTCCCGTGTGCCCTACATGTGACAGTCCATAGCAGTGCCTCCCCGACCCTCATGAGGGACCCGGGAGTACGCACGGTTATGTCTCTGTTGAAGAAACTGACTTGAGGGATCTAAGATCACATGATGGGTGAATAAAGATGGGATTTAAAATGGGGTCAGCCTGATGGTAAATTCCATGCTTTCACCACTCTTACCACCCTGTGCGCCCAAGTGGGGCAGAAAGCTGGGATGGGCGGCAGGTGGTTCCTTGCTCCTAGAAACCCCAGCGTGGGGACCGTCATTTCATGAACTCCAGGACAGCCCTGCCCACCAGGGGAGCCCAGGGCCCTCCCTGGGTCTGCTGACCAGGGTTCTCCCCACTCTGAGTCTTCCTGTCCTTTCTTAGCAAAAAACGAGCAAAACCCTTTCATGGTGCTGGCCTGCAGTAGGTGGACCAGCAAGACCATCAAAATCCTTCTGCCTTCATCTCATCAATCACTTACTCATTAGTGCATAATTAATATTGACATCCCCAAGGACCTGCTGTCACACAAGCTCTTGCTAGACTTCGGGGCTTTAGGAGGAAATCAGAAGTGGCCCCTGCCCTCAGGGGACTTGCAGTCGAGTTCCCCTGAGCACTTAGGGGCCCACGGGTAGGGCAGGGAGAGGCCCCTCTTACCTAGTTTAGTGTCTGTTCCATCCAGTTCCTCAAGCCTTTAGCCACATCCAAGCACTGGAGACTGTGTAAACACTGGTGAGACGGACCCCGCTTTGCCAGGGATGACAGATTCGGTTGGGGGTGGGGGCACAGGTCATTATAAGTAACCCAAACACAAGGTAGAAGGGGCCGAGAGCTCAGCGAGTGGCTGGGACCCACCAAGGCAGTGTCCAGGGCTACAGACCTGGAGGGCCTCGAGCAGCAGGGGATGTGGACAGGGTGGGTAGCACGAGCAAAGGCTGTGAGGGAACGAACAGGAGAGGCGAGGCGAGAAAGTGCAGGACGTGTGGAGGAGCCCTGAACAGCAGGCTAAGATGCGTGGAGCTCCTGCCTATGGCAGCTGGTAGCCCTTGCAGGCGTCAGGGAAGTGGCATGGACTTAGCCGTGCTGCAGAGAAAATAACCTGCCCGCAGTGATGGATGATGGGGTGGGACCATCAGGGACTGAACGCAGGGGCCCCATTTGGGAGGTTGCCGTGATAGACCTGCTCATCTGGCTGTCCCAGGGCAGGGCACAGAGGGGGAGTGGATATAAGAAGCCCCGTGGAGGTAGCCACCTTCTGGGCCAGGGCCCCAGGGTGTGAGCTGTACTCAAACCCTGGGATAACCCGGCACTCTCCTAATTTGAGGCCACTCGCCTCATCTGTAGTATGCAGCCTTGAGCAGTGGCAGGGGATGTAGTGCTGGAAAATAATACTGGCTGGGAAAGACTGGGGTGGGGGCATGACTGTGAGCCGAGGGCCTTGGGTGACGCCACCACAGGAGCCACAGGTACAGTGATGGCAAGTCAGGGGCAGGGGTGGCATTGCCCCAGCTAGGGCGGGACATGCAGGGGGGGGTTCCTTGAGGGGCACAGTTTTGGTCATCAGTGTGCTGACAGCACCCTGGACTGACTCTGCTCTGCTCTCCCCCACAGTCCCCCCAGAGGACACCAGGATCGATGGAGGTCCTGTGATTCTGCTGCAGGCAGGCACCCCCCACAACCTCACGTGCCGAGCCTTTAATGCCAAGCCCGCTGCCACCATCATCTGGTTCCGGGACGGGACGCAGCAGGAGGGCGCCGTGGCCAGTACGGTGAGGCCTCAGCTGCTCTCCGGCTCCTCCTGGGCCTCATCCCAGGTCCCCTTCCCTTTCCCTCATGGGTCTGACGCCAGACTTGGGGGGATACAGATGTGAGGGGGGCCTTGGTGCTAATCTGGTCCAACCTCTCGCTTCTAGTTGGGAAAATTGAAGTCCAGACAGGAGAAGTGAGTTCACAGGTTCATGATGCCACTTAGGAGTTAGCAGAGACTAAGAGTAATGAGAATAATAGTTATGTGGATTAAGCACCTACTGTGTGCCAGGCACTGCATGCTGAACTCTTCCTGGACAGTCCCTCTTAGTCCTTGTGGGAGTGTCATAAGGTGGGTGTTATTTCCAACCCACAAAGAGGGACACTGATGGTCAGAGAGGTTGAGTGATTAGCCCAAGGTCACACAGCAGGCATGCTGCTGAGCTGGGGTTTGTACCTGGGTGGGACTATGCTCTCTCTTCCAAGCACCGTGCCCTCTTTCCTTCACCTCTAGTTGGCAGATTTTTCCAGTTGGCACAACTAAGAGGTTGGGGAAGCAGGGATTACTGTGTACATTTCATGGACAAAGAAGCTATGGCAGAGAAAAACATCGAGTGACTTGCCCACGGTCACAAGGCAAAGTCGACTGGAGTTGGAAAGTCTCCTGTTCGGGGTTCTGCCAGCTGCGTGTACCCAGGCCTTTGCTAGGTGCTGCAGGAGACCTGCTAACGTGTGAGCCTCCAAGGAGAATCCGGTCTGCTCTTGACACACTGTTATGGCAGCTGGTAGCCCTTGCAGGCGTCAGGGAAGTGGCATGGACTTAGCCGTGCTGCAGAGAAAATAACCTGCCCGCAGTGATGGATGATGGGGTGGGACCATCAGGGACTGAACGCAGGGGCCCCATTTGGGAGGTTGCCGTGATAGACCTGCTCATCTGGCTGTCCCAGGGCAGGGCACAGAGGGGGAGTGGATATAAGAAGCCCCGTGGAGGTAGCCACCTTCTGGGCCAGGGCCCCAGGGTGTGAGCTGTACTCAAACCCTGGGATAACCCGGCACTCTCCTAATTTGAGGCCACTCGCCTCATCTGTAGTATGCAGCCTTGAGCAGTGGCAGGGGATGTAGTGCTGGAAAATAATACTGGCTGGGAAAGACTGGGGTGGGGGCATGACTGTGAGCCGAGGGCCTTGGGTGACGCCACCACAGGAGCCACAGGTACAGTGATGGCAAGTCAGGGGCAGGGGTGGCATTGCCCCAGCTAGGGCGGGACATGCAGGGGGGGGTTCCTTGAGGGGCACAGTTTTGGTCATCAGTGTGCTGACAGCACCCTGGACTGACTCTGCTCTGCTCTCCCCCACAGTCCCCCCAGAGGACACCAGGATCGATGGAGGTCCTGTGATTCTGCTGCAGGCAGGCACCCCCCACAACCTCACGTGCCGAGCCTTTAATGCCAAGCCCGCTGCCACCATCATCTGGTTCCGGGACGGGACGCAGCAGGAGGGCGCCGTGGCCAGTACGGTGAGGCCTCAGCTGCTCTCCGGCTCCTCCTGGGCCTCATCCCAGGTCCCCTTCCCTTTCCCTCATGGGTCTGACGCCAGACTTGGGGGGATACAGATGTGAGGGGGGCCTTGGTGCTAATCTGGTCCAACCTCTCGCTTCTAGTTGGGAAAATTGAAGTCCAGACAGGAGAAGTGAGTTCACAGGTTCATGATGCCACTTAGGAGTTAGCAGAGACTAAGAGTAATGAGAATAATAGTTATGTGGATTAAGCACCTACTGTGTGCCAGGCACTGCATGCTGAACTCTTCCTGGACAGTCCCTCTTAGTCCTTGTGGGAGTGTCATAAGGTGGGTGTTATTTCCAACCCACAAAGAGGGACACTGATGGTCAGAGAGGTTGAGTGATTAGCCCAAGGTCACACAGCAGGCATGCTGCTGAGCTGGGGTTTGTACCTGGGTGGGACTATGCTCTCTCTTCCAAGCACCGTGCCCTCTTTCCTTCACCTCTAGTTGGCAGATTTTTCCAGTTGGCACAACTAAGAGGTTGGGGAAGCAGGGATTACTGTGTACATTTCATGGACAAAGAAGCTATGGCAGAGAAAAACATCGAGTGACTTGCCCACGGTCACAAGGCAAAGTCGACTGGAGTTGGAAAGTCTCCTGTTCGGGGTTCTGCCAGCTGCGTGTACCCAGGCCTTTGCTAGGTGCTGCAGGAGACCTGCTAACGTGTGAGCCTCCAAGGAGAATCCGGTCTGCTCTTGACACACTGTCTGACCGTGGGCAGTTCACTTCCCTCTGGCCTTAGTTTCACCATTTGACAAGCGAAAATTCGGCCTCAGTGCAGCATAACCTTTTCACCGCCAAGAAATTGGTTATTTTTTCTCCCCTCGGGCTACATGTTTTGATATACTTTGGCAGCCAAACAAGCTGATGTGTTAATGGCTGTTTTTGTCCACCCCTTTTTATATTCATTAAAGACCCCGCAGCTTCTGGAAGCAGCAGGACGGAGCCAGTGTTACCGCACTGGGTCGGTACTGCTCTGGCCCCGCAAAGATGTGGGGGGCTTTCCTTTGGCGAACAGCGTGGTTCCCCTTGGGCATTGTGGAGTATTGAAAACAGCTCAAGGGTTCCTGTGACCGCGCTGGGGGACCTCAAGTTGGACCCCACTGGGCCGGTGCGAGACTTTGAGCCTGTGAGTCCCCGCCCTGCCCTCGCAAAGTTTATGGCCTGGCAGGAGGGATGGACGCAGTGCTGACAGATCCTCGCGCAGGGCCCGAGAGGCTGGGCTGCGTGTGTCAGAGCAGTGCACAGGCTGGCAGTGAGTCCTGTGGGCAGCAGCGGTGGCTGAGAAAGTCTTTGCAGGACAGAAGGAACTTGAACTGGGCTCAGAGAGTTCCTGGGATGAGGCTCAGAACCACGGGGAGACTATACAACCCACACTGAGCGCTCAGGTCAACTGGCTCTGGTTGGCAGTGACATAGGGATAGCGGTCAATCAGTCAGACACCTATCACACGAATGCATCACGTTCATTACTAATGGGGCAAACTGGGGCGTCCGGGAGGAGGATATGTGGGAACTCTCTGTATTTTCTGTTCAGTATTTCTGCAAACTTAAAACTTCTCTAAAATATAAAGTCTGTTCATTACAAACCAAAGCTAGAGAAGAGGGTGGGGCAGAGTTTCAGGTCAGAGTGGCCTCCATCTCAAGCCCACCTCTGTTCTGAGTCAGGTCACCCTAAGAGGACAGTAGGGGGCTTTCAGTGTGACCGTGTCTCCCACCCTTGTCCCACTCCAGGAACTGCTGAAGGATGGGAAAAGGGAGACCACCACCAGCCAGCTGCTCATTAACCCCACAGACCTGGACATCGGGCGTGTGTTCACCTGTCGCAGCATGAACGAGGCCGTCCCGAGCGGCAAGGAGACTTCCATAGAGCTGGACGTGCACCGTGAGCCAGGAACTGGGGAGGGTCAGGGTGGGGCGGTGGGATGAGGAAGGGAACCTGTCCGCCCTTGGAGAGGCGGAGAATAAAGAGCCTCTTAGGGGCCCCAGGACAGATGCTGATCACCCTGTTCACCCTTGTGGCTTCCCTGGTTTGTACTGAGGGCTGCGAAGCACTGGCTGTGAGGCGGGCAGTTCCCGAGTCAAAACCAGTGGCTTTAGCAATGATTTCATCTCTCTCAGCCTCAGTTTACAATTCTGCATACTTGGCACAAAATAAAATTTGAGCTGGCAAAACGTGGGCTAGTCTCTTCGTAGTCTTTTACTTGACCCACTTAATCTGAATATCCTACATGCCAGCAGCTGTGTTAAAGTGCGTCACTGTAGGGTGTTGCCCAGATCCTGTGGGGATTCTTACATAATAAATGGTTTATGCACACTGTTACCTTTCTAAAATTTGAAAAATCCAAATTCTGAAACACGTCTAATCCCAAGGGTTTCAGATTCGGGATTGTGGGCCTGTACCCACTTCTCAGGGTTATGAGCATGAAACAAAATATAGTGTAAGAGCCTCTAGCAAGGAATATGCTACCTCGTAGGTGCTCAATAAATTCCCTCTGCCCAGGGAAGGGTGGGCGTGTGGGCAGCAATTAGAGGGACGGTGCCCCACCCCCACCCCTTTCAGTGAGCCAAGTGAGGCCACACTGGCGCCTAGTGGCCACGGTGGGTCATTACGTACACTGATTAGTGGGTCCCTTTGGTATCCTCCTTGGTCGTCACCCTAGCTGGCCCCCTAGAGGGTCAGTGGGGTACAGGTGAGGAGCTGGTACCCTGCACAGTGATGGTGCTGTGAGGTAAGGTCCCAGTGTATGTGTTAGGGAGAGAAAAAAGAAACTTGAGGGCCAGGAAAGCCCCTGACATCCCATGCCCTGCATTGCAGACCCTCCTACAGTGACCCTGTCCATCGAGCCACAGACGGTGCAGGAGGGTGAGCGAGTTGTCTTTACGTGCCAGGCCACGGCCAACCCCGAGATCCTGGGCTACAGGTGCGAGGGGCCGGGGCTGGCGGGGACTCTGGAGAGGCCTTTGGTGGGGGCTGGCGGGGCGTTGCAGGGAGGCGGTGCCGCTGGGGTCGGATGACGGGTCCGAGCCCTGATCCGCACCCCCACGTCCCCACCCCAGGTGGGCCAAGGGGGGCTTCTTGATCGAGGATGCCCACGAGAGTCGCTATGAGACAAATGTTGATTATTCCTTCTTCACGGAGCCTGTGTCCTGCGAGGTCCACAACAAAGTGGGGAGCACGAACGTGAGCACGCTGGTGAATGTCCACTGTGAGTGGCTGCATGGCCGGGGCAGGCGCAGAGGGCAGGGGCCTTTGAAGGGCCGAGGGTGGGGCCAGGGCCGCTCCACGAAGCTGGAGGAGGCCTGGGAGGAGAAGTGGGGGGGTCGCGGGGCAGAAGGAAGAGCAGACTTCCCGGAGCAGAGCTCCCCTTGAGACCAGGCCTTAACTGCTCCTTTCCGCCTCAGTTGCTCCCCGGATTGTCATTGACCCCAAGCCCACGACCACAGACATCGGCTCTGATGTGACCCTCACCTGTGTCTGGGTTGGGAATCCCCCCCTCACCCTCACCTGGACCAAAAAGGATTCAAACATGGTAAGACGCTTGCTGCTGTCGAGTGCTGGGAGGCATGGGGGACAGTGCCAGGACAGGTGGGGGACAGGGCCGAGGAGGTGCAGCATATTTCTAGGATTGAACCCAGGATATTTCTAGGGTCCCACGATGTGAGGAGCAGGACAGTACTTGAGCTCAACCCCACCCCTCCTTGCGGACAGCCAGCTGGTCGGGGGGCATGGGAGGGACCCCTGGCCTATGTGTGGGAGGAGGGAGGAGGGCCTGAAGGGGAGCTGCTTCCAGGAAAAGGCCTGGTCAATGGACGCCACCTAGGAAGGAGGCGGCTGGAATGGTTCACTAGAAAAGAGAGGGCTGTATTCTGCAGAGACCTCCATTAGACAGTCCGAGCCAAAACTGCAGGAAGAGGGATTTTAGAGTGAAGCTTCCTGCCTCACTGGGCAAGAATTAGACCATCAGGGGAGGATGCCACCTCTGAAAACAGTCGCAGCCTCCCCTGCCCCCTCCCATCTCTGCCCACTCTCACAGAAATGGCGCATGTAAACGCCAACCTGTTTAGAGTCAGGGGAGGTCCAGCAGGCTCGGGACTCAGTTTCCCTTCTGGGAATTCACCTGTGGCCCTTCCTGCTTTCTTTCCAATGCCTCCGATGCGGGGGCCCACCCGGACCTAGGGGCCCAGGCCTCCTGGCTCCCCACCCGAGGCTGCTCTCTCTGCCCAGGTCCTGAGTAACAGCAACCAGCTGCTGTTGAAGTCGGTGACCCAGGCAGATGCCGGCACCTACACGTGCCGGGCCATTGTGCCTCGGATAGGGGTGGCTGAGCGGGAGGTGCCGCTGTACGTGAATGGTGAGTGGCTGCCAAGAGGGCCGGGGCCTGGGCGGGCAGGCACCACGGGCTCCAGCAGGCTCTGACTGCCCTCTTGCTTGCAGGGCCCCCCATCATCTCAAGTGATGCAGTGCAGTACGCTGTTAGGGGCGACGGCGGCAAGGTGGAGTGTTTCATCGGAAGCACACCGCCCCCAGACCGCATTGTGAGTGCTGGGGTGCGCCTGGGGCCTGGGGACGGCCAGCACCAGCCTCCTGCGGGGCAGCAGCCTCCCACCCGCTCTTTGCTCCTCCCTTTCCCCAGGCCTTCTCTCTACCTCTAGTCCTCTGAGCCTCTGTCACCTCTGTTCCTTCCCTGCTCAGATACCAGCTCCTGTCTTACTAGTTGTGCCCGTGAGCAAATCACTTAGTGTTTTGAACCTCATTTTCCTCATCCATAAAATGGGGGCAATGACCCTTCCTACCAGGGCCGCTATGAAACTGAAAGGCCTAGTGAAGCCCCTCCTGGACCCACTCCTGGGTCCCCTCGGCCGCACTCGTGCCCTGTCCCGCCCCCTCTCCTCCCCTTTCCTCAGTTTCAGGGTGTTCCCTTGTCCTCTCTTCCCTCCATCCTGCCCCTGGGGGCCTCCCTTCTCCCGGCCGATCCTGCCTTCCTCCTCCGACCGGCCCCTCCTTTCTCCTCTCCCCTGCACCACGAGCCATTAATTCCTTCCGTGGCCATTAACCGTCAAACCCCTCATCACACTTAATGACCATTTGGCCAACTCCAGGGCTGCCCAGGGACACTTCATTAGCACGGCCGCCTGGGCAGCGGGCAGCCCAGCTCCCAGGGGCTTTCCTTGCAGAGCTGGGAGGGTGGTGCTCCGGAAAGCAGCTGCAGACCTCAGCTGCTGCCCCTCCGGTGGGCCCCCCTGTGGGAGGGGACATGAAGAGGGGATGCCCTGGCTGGGCGGTCTGGAGGACCCTGGGGCTGCCACTGTCCGACTATAGCTCCTACCCACTGTGAGAGTCTGGGCTGGGTCTCCCACCAGGCGGGTTGGCATGGGGTCGGCTGTGGGTTGGCTAAAGGTAAGGCTGAAGATTGAGTTATGTTCTACGGAAGTCTAGACTACAGGAGCTGGAAAAACCTTGGGCAGGCTCTCTAGCCTGGTCCGGTCCCTTTACATATGAGGAAACTGAGGTCCAGAGAGGGGAGGGGAGGCCACACCGGGGCGGGAGGGGAAGGCCAGGCCTAGAGCCCAGGGTTCCTGACTTCCCATCCGGGAGTTTTTCTGCGACATCAGGGGTTCCCAATGTCAGGGCGCCAGAGGAGCTGTGCCCACACCACGTGGGATCCGTATAAACATGAGATTCCTGGGCCCCTCCCCACCTGAGAATCTGCACTGTAAAGGATGTCCCAAGGCGTGTCTGAAAGTCCTGGCATATCTCTCATGACGTTGGGCAGCCTGTGCTTCTAGACTGGTGGTTCAGTGCCAGGGTTTGAGGCAGTAGATGTGACTCAGCTCTGTTGCAGGGTGAGTGCTGGGCCAGGCTTAGGGGCACAGCGGGTGCACCGCATTAAGCTGCCTTGAGGGGGGCGTCAGGTGTCACTGCCTCCTGCTCCTGCCTTATCCCCTCCTGCCCTCCCTGCCCCAGGCCTGGGCATGGAAGGAGAACTTCCTGGAGGTGGGGACCCTGGAACGCTATACAGTGGAGAGGACCAACTCAGGCAGCGGAGTGCTGTCCACACTCACCATCCACAACGTCGTGGAGGCCGACTTTCAGACCCACTACAACTGCACTGCCTGGAACAGCTTCGGGCCAGGCACAGCCATCATCCAGCTGGAAGAGCGAGGTGACCGCAGGGCTGGCTGGGCACAGGGGCCTGGGGGGCCGCTCCTTCTTCTCCCCAGGGGCACGGTGCACAGAGAGGCAACAGTCTCCTGGGCCTGCCCACCGGAACCAGGCCTTGGTGCTCAGCCAGAGAAATCCACTCACTGTTCTGAACACTTGTGGAACACCTGCGCTGTGCCAGGCCCTGGGCTAGGGGCTGCGGGGGCAAACATGAGCAAGGCCTCCAGGAACACTCAGCTTAGCGAAGGAGCTTTCGGGGTGTCAGCACCGACTTCAGACCTCTTCAAGAGCCCTTAGTCTGATAGGTCGTGTGTTCTGTCCCTTAAGGCACTTTGGCAGGATGAAGGAAGTATTTATTACCTTTAACTTTTTTCGAGGCTCTCCAGTCTGATGAGATAAAGAGGCTCTCCCTTTTGACCTGGGAGAGGGGGGGATCAGGTCTGTCTCGGCAGGGAAGGCTTTGGGGGTGAGGGAGCGGAAGAGCCTTCCGGGGACCTGCCCCATCCAGGACTACCAGAAAGGAGGAGAAAGCTGGGAGGCAGGATTCCTTGGCCCCTCTCGCTCTGGGGAGCAGGGGAACCTAGGACCGTCTGAGCCCCGGGAGGGTAGGTGGAGGTGCAGGGGCCACACGGGGTGGGTGCAGAATGAAACGAAAGGTGGAACAGAGGGCAGATTGCCAAGTCTGGACACGGCTGACCTCAGCCAAGAGCTCAGCCCAGGAGAGAGAGACCAAGCCTCACAAGCAGGGGGGCTGCGGGAGAGGGACAGATGGACGGCCGAGGCCAGGGTCAAGGTGATGCCACAGCTGCAAGGCTCAGACATGACCATGATCCAGCCCCCAGCAAGCTGAAGCTCGGGCCCAAACCCCGACATGCACAGACCTTCCTCTCAAGTCCACCAGCAGTTAAAGCCTGGGCCCCCGGCCCACGCTGAGCTCAGCTCCCCGTGACTCGGTCCTCACCCCACCCTTTCCTTCCCTTGCCTGAAGAGGTGCTGCCCGTGGGTGTCATCGCCGGGGCCACCATCGGGGCCGGCGTCCTGCTCATCTTCTTCTTCATCGCCTTGCTGTTCTTTCTCTACCGACGCCGCAAAGGCAGTGAGTACAGCCCGGCTGCCTGGCAGGCATGCGGGAGACACCGGGAAGTGGGGGCCGCACGCTCCACGGCCCTGGGGGACCAGAAAAGGCCAGCAGAGGCTGGGAGAAAGCATCCCGGCTGCCTCCCCCATCCCAGGTCGTAAGGACGTGACCCTGAGGAAGCTGGACATCAAGGTGGAGACGGTGAACCGCGAGCCACTCACCATGCATTCTGACCACGAGGATGATACCACCAGCGTCTCCACAGCCACCCGCGTCATGAAGGCCATTTACTCGGTGAGGGTCCTGTGCCTCCCCGGCCGCCTGCTCCTCACCCTCTTGGGCTCCCCATCTCCCTTATAACCGCGGTCACTGTTCCCCCTCAGTCGGCCCACCGTGGCCCTGCCGCACACTCAGATGTCCCTCCGGCAGAGGCCGCGTGGGGGCCCTCCACAGGCTTCCTTCACCCACCCTGCCTGCACAGGGTGTCCGATGTCACCCCCAGTTCTCTGGTGCAGCTGCCTCACTGCTCAGCTCAGGAAATGGTCCCGAGGGGGCAGTGGCATAGCCATGGTCACACGGAGAGTTAGGGACAGAACTGGAGCTAGATAGAACCCAGGAGCCTGGCCTCTTCCCTCCACACCCCAGAGCCTCTGCTTGAGAGGATGACCCCAGACCCTTCCCTCCAGCAGGTGGCCCCTGGGGACGGGGTGGGGCTGGCCAGGGGGGCGAGAGTGGGACCTCAGTCTGCTGACGTCGCCCCTGCTGCTCTGCAGTCCCTTAAGGACGACGCGGACCTGAAGCAGGATCTGCACTGTGACACCATCGACACCCGGGAGGAGTATGAGATGAAGGTGGGCAGGACTAGCCGGGGCAGGAGGGCCTGCGGGGTGCGGGGGAGGGCCGGCTGGGGGAGGCTTACTGAAGGAACAGAGGAAGTGAGGGGGTCCTGGCTGAGAGCCCAGGGCCCTGCAGAGCCTTGACACCCCTCCCACGAGGGGGCCCCCTCCTCCACGGTCTTCTCGTTGCCCGCAGGACCCCACCAACGGCTACTACAATGTGCGAGCCCACGAAGACCGCCCTTCCTCCAGGGCTGTGCTCTACGCCGACTACCGCGCCCCTGGCCCTGCCCGCTTCGACGGCCGCCCCTCCTCGCGTCTCTCCCACTCCAGCGGCTACGCCCAGCTCAACACGTACAGCCGGGCCCCCGCCGCCGACTACGGTCCCGAGCCCACGGCCCCCGGCCCTGCTGCCCCTGCTGGCGCAGACACAGCCAGCCAGCTGTCCTACGACAACTACGAGAAGTTCAATTCCCACCCCTTCCCCGCGGCGGCGGGGTACCCCACCTACCGGCTGGGTTACCCCCAGGCTCCGCCCTCTGGCCTGGAGCGGACCCCGTATGAGGCATACGACCCCATTGGCAAGTACGCCACAGCCACCCGGTTCTCCTACACGTCCCAGCACTCGGACTACGGCCAGCGGTTCCAGCAGCGCATGCAGACTCACGTGTAGGCGCCGGGCCCGGCCGGGGCGTCTCTGCGGGGCAGAGGAGAAGGCTCGCACGGCTGTTCCCTGATATTCAGGGGCGTCGCTCGTGCTCCCGCCCCGGACCAGCCTTCCTCCTCCCACCGTGGCAGGTGGGGAGCAGGTCTCCCGGAAACACCCCGTCCCGAGGATGGTGCTCGGCGCATGCCCCAGCCTCCAGGGCTGCCCTTCCCTCTTCTTCGGGAGGACGTGTCTCTCCTGACCTGTGCCCTTTCCTGGCCTCAGCGTGGGGATAGGCACAGTGAAGGCTGTGGAGAGCAGAGGGGGCGCTTTTTAGCATTCCCTTTCTACCCGACCCCTCTGGTCTCCCGTTAGTAGACAGGGGGTCACCTGCGGGTGAGTGGGCACGCTTTGGCCCAGGGGGCATGAAGTGTGGGGGTCGGTGGCTCCAGCACGGCTCAGTGGAAACGGGACAGCCTGGCCAGTCCTCTGCAGTCTGCATTCATACCCTGGGTGCATCTCTCCCTCCTTGGCACTGCAGAAGGGGCCTCTGATTTTTCTTAGCTCTGTCTGCAGAACATCCGTGGCACTGAGTTCAAATACAGCCCTTGTTCCACTGGGATTAAAATGCCAGTATCCTGGCTGCCCACTGTGGACACTTGTCTGTCAGCCCGCAGAGGGACCCAGGCACCTCCAGGAAAACTGCCCCCTTCCTTCCGCTCTGTGCTGGACCAGACAGGTAAGGCTGGGGGTGGCGGTGAAGAAAGGAAGGTTGGGAACCATGCCCCGATTCACCAGCAAGAACTGTGTGTGCTACACAGCAGTGTCAGTGCCCACAGTGCAGGGAGACTGCCCGCGCCACCTTCTCTCCCCAGTCTGCCCCCTCCCTGGCTTTAAATGTGGCCTGCCTGGGGAGTGATGGGGTGAGGGTAGGGGTGCTATAGGCTATTTTTCAAAAAAACAATGAAAACCTCATTTGGGAAAGAAAAAAAAATGCTGTAGGGATCCCCCCACCCAAATACAAGTCCCAGTGGAAAGGAAAGGAGGTGCCTCTTCTTTTCCTCCGGATTCCTAACACCTTCCATTACTCATTCACTCTCCAAGCACTTTGAATCCATTTTTAAACATTCAGGTTGTGAGACCTGTCACCCAATGGACTGATGGGCTTAAGGAGGGGGCTTGGCGCTCAGACTTGCTGTCCTACCCTAGGGCCCACGAGCTGGTTAGAGGCCACCTTCCAGGGTACATGGGAGATGTCCTCTTGAGACAGGTTTTGGTTTGTTAAGTGTCTTTTTTTCTTTTCTTAGATCAATCAGATTCCTTTTTCCACTTTCAGTGCCTTGAGTGTCCAGCTTTGGTTGACCGGTCCTGTGTGGGTGGCTGCAGGGAGCCGGTATTGTGAGCCCCAGACGCACTGTCCAGCGTTGCAGGGCTTAGGGGACAGATGTGTGAGAGGGCCTGGTAAGGACAAGGGCTGACGGGTAAGGTGGTGCAGAAGGACACTGCAGGCAGCCATGGCCCATGCTGTCCCCGCCACACACGTGCATGCATGCCCACACACATTCCCCATGGCCCTTCTCAGCCCGCCACCTTCTGACCAAAGAGAACCGGCACTCCAAAGAGAACTCGTTCCCCTTCCCGAAATGTGGGGTCTGGAGTCTGCTCGGCCTGACCGGGCGGGGCCTGCGGTGCAATTCCCAGAGAGCGCGTTGCCCTTTCTCGTGGTCACCATTCATTAGTCGCATTCACTTTAATGAGTTACATGCTCATTACCATGGGCCATCGCCACCCTGGCACATGGGGCTGTGGGCTGACTCCTCGCCATCCTCTCCCTGCTAATACCCTGGAAGAAAGTAGCTCCAGTTCCAACCTCCTCGTCCTCCATTTCAGCAGGGGTGCATCCCAAGGACCTCCTTCCTAAGGCAAGACAGGCTCCCACCACGTTCAGCCCCTTGCCCGGAGGCTGACACCTTCCTTCCTGGTCCTTTGATGTGTGCTCAGTGAGGGTCTGTTAAAGAGGCAGGTCTCGGTGCAAACAAATTCATGCATATGTGGATTATTTTCACAGAAACCAGAAGCCGTGCCTGAGCCAGACAGTTAAAACCTAAAGATTGTCACTTTTTAAACAAGAATTTCCAAAAAAAAAAAAAAAGCAACCCTGAAACATTGATTTGTGTTTGAGGTTTCACCACATTCTCTTCCCTCCTTTTTGGTTTCGGTGCTGGGCACACTCTGTTGCAGTGATGGAGGGGGGCGGTGCCCAGGGTCCGCAGGTCCGTCCGCTGCCGCTGCAGGGCCCACTCGCTTTCTGAAGGCCTGAGGCAGAGTGCTGCACTGTCCTCTGTTGCTGAACACATTGATGGGGGCTCCTGAGTATCAGGCGTGCCAGGCACAAGGCAGGGGAGACAGCAGCAGCCCTGGCAGTCTCCCTCAGCAGCTTGCCCTCTGGTCAGATCAGCATCCAAGCTGGGACCTGTCTTCTCAGCCAAATGGAATCCAGAGGGTAGAAGGTGCCGTTGAACCTGGAGTTTTTGTTCTCAAAGGCCGGAGTCCTCCAACAGGCTGCCTCAGTTCTTGATGTGGTTGCCCTGGTGACCCTGATTGCCTTGGACATTTTTATTTGAGTGGGAAGAGCAAGGGCTGGGGATCCGGAGGCCTGGGACCCAGTTGCAAAGCTGCCATTGACTGAGTGACCTTGGCCTAACCACTTTACATTTATCACCCCCAGTTGTCTAGTCCGTAAAGTGAGGGGGAAGGATTGCACAAACCTAGAACTGTTCTGCCCTTGTTGTATGCATTTGGTGAGGTGGAGGGTCTGGCGATCCCTGGCAAGGAGTTGGGAACAGTAAGCAAGCGGGGTGAGGGATGGGGAGTTGGAAGGGCCTCTTGAAAAAAGCATTCACCACGGGCTTCGTCATCTTGGCAGAGGTGCTGTGAGTGAATTTCCACTAAGAACCTGTGGATTCCAAACAGCAACAAAAAGCATACCCTATAAACTTCAGTGAAATTGGGGTAGGGTTATCCCTGGACCATTGGGAATGGTCCTTCAGAATTGGAGTCCCACCCTGAATTCTTACAGCTTTGCAAAGGTACCTGTGGCTGGGGTGGGCATGGCGAGTCCTTCACTGCGTACCCAGGGTTCCCGCAGCTTCCTCTGTAGGAAGGAAGGGCCGCAGTGACTCTCCGGTGCTCAGGAACGTTCCGCTGGCCCAGGGACAGTGCACCCACTTCAGAGCAGGCGAAGCCTGAAGGCCAAGGTGTCTTGAGCCAGAGGGCCAGGCGTGAACAGAGCTGCCCTTCCCAACGCAGCTGTTAGGGAGGACAGTTGGTAGAGGGAAGATGGGTGCAGCTCTGACACAGATTCTAGATCTTACAGAGGTGCTTGTGGTCCTAGGTGAGCCGTGCTTGTCAGGTGGAGGCACAGGCTGCCTCCTGAATCCCAGGTCCCTCTGCGCCAGCCACAGAGTTTGCATGAAGTGAAAACCACAGGGAGTCAGAAAGGAGAGCGGACAGGGACGGGAGCTGTGCTGAGCTCTCAAAACGTCCTCCTTGAATGTCCTCCTTGAGAGGAAAAGCATTAGTAGGACCGCCCTGCCTGCAGGCCCTGCACCCTCTCCTTGCCCAGCAGTTGCTGCATTCCTCGTAATTTTGAGGGCAGCCTTTCCCTTTGCAGGATGGAACACACCGCCTGGAGTCCCTTTTGCCCTTGTGCCCTTTCATGAACCAGCAGGCGCTCTGTCAAGAGCCTCCAGTCCTCCTGGGCTCCTTAGAGCAGATCACATGGCCTCATGGGGGGTGCTCGCTGCGTGCACTCAGCAGTGCCGGGCCACTCAGGTTTAAAGAAATCCATGTTAAAGTCAAGCTCCCGGTTGGACCGAACTGGCTTAGTCGCCGCTTCACTCTGATGTGGGCACTTGTGTCCCCACCACTGTGCTCCCAAGGCCACGCCAGCCTGGGAAACCTAGGCTTCTCTACCACTTCCGCGCTGTGTGTGCAGAGCCAGGTTGCCGTTCTGCGCCCCTGCAGGCTGAGGGGACCCCCTGAAAGGCACTGGTGAGGCTCCAGACCCCGGTGGGACCAGCGAGGAGGGGACAGTGGGACACTGAGTGCCCAGACCAAGGGATGAAATTGCAAAGGCATTTATTTTTGTGAAGAGGCTATGAAATTAGTATTTAACGCCCCCTCCTCCCCCCCACCCGCCTCATTCCCTTCTCCCCCTCCCCTTGCCCCCTCCACCGTGCGCGCTCTCCTCTCCCAGAGGCCAGCCTCTTCCTGAGGCTCACCTTTATCAGCTGGGTCCTGACATCCCATCTCTGCGCTGGTGGGGGGCACAGGAAGGATGTGTGGCTTGGGAGACGGATGAATCGAGGAGTTGCAGGGAAGGGGGCAGAATCCCATTTTCTTGCATCACTGTGAGGAGCTCCAGGCCCTGTCCCTGGAGAAATAATTGCTGCGCAGACATCACAGGCCATACTGGGTGGTTCTGGTACAAGCCTGCCCACAAAGGTAACTCCACTTTTCATAGAACCATCACTCATTCCTGCCAGTCTGTCCCCGGCTCCTGGCTTTTTGCCAGCCCCAGCCACTACCTTTTCAGGTGTTGGCAGGCCGTGGGTGCCTCTGTCTGCTTCTGGAGATCTTCAGATGCTGCCCCCTGGGCATATCCCTAACTCTGGGGAGGCTGCAGCCAAGTTGCCATACAATGGAAACTTTGGACACAATCTGATTAGCAATGGTGACCACTTGGACCAGAAAGAAGTGCAGGGTTTCCTGTGGTCACATTTTCCACCCTAACCATTCTGGGGATTCTGACCTCCATTTCTGGCTCCATTTTAATTTTCTCCACCTAAACCCCCATAATAAATGGATCCATGATGATAATTAAAAGAAGAGGAAAAAAAATAATTATTTTTGTTAGGACAGACCATCGTAGATTTTTAGCAGTGTGTATCTGTGTGTCCCTCACACCTTTTCCTATTCTGCCTTTTATCATTTTCCTTTTTTTTAAATATTATGTACTATATTTTTAGTCTCAAACACACTATATATTATATATATTTAATTTTTTTATATATATAAATATAAATGTTTTAAAAAGTACCATGTTTGTGTCATTTAATGCATGGGCAGCTCTGGTTACTTAAGCCTGCCTGATTTGGGGTGAAGCAGCCCAAATTCAGGGAAAAGAAAAGGAATTTCTGGATTGAGATTGCAAAGGCTCCATTTGTGTCACCTCCAGGCCATGGGGCTCGTGGGTTGTATTCACTGCTTATGACTGTCGCAGAATCCTGAGGCCAATTATGGGAGTTCAGGGATAAACAGCTAGAGGCTCCTGGCGTTTGGAACGCAGCATCCAAATGGTCTGCGCCAAACACAATTATGGGGATAGGAAAAGTGGAGACTGAAATTGGGATCCAGAACCCCAAAGGAATTGGATGTAGGAGGCGAGCAGAACTGGTTTCATTTATTAAAATGCAAAGGTTTGTTTAAAAGGAGAGTTGCCAGGTCTCCAACCTTTTGAGCTTGTAGTGAAACAAATGAAAACACAGGTGGTACAGCCGATGGTACAGTGCCCGCAGAGGCCATCCTGCTGGGAAATCCTAAATTCTCCAGGTTCAGTAGAGTTTCCAAGAATTTCACTTGACTCACTTCACAAGAGTGTTTGAGGATAACTGCACAGAAGGTCCACAGCCCTTTCCCTTCTCATCCCAAACTGTGTTTATCTCTAGGGCCCAGTTTAAAGGCCGTCTCCTCCAGGAAGCCTTGCCTGACTCATTTACTTACCTTCTCTCCTGGGAAATCCCAGGACACGTGAGCTGTGCCCACGGTCTCAGCTGTCTGCCCTGATCAGCTGTGTGGATGGCACATTAGCACTTTCCTCTGAACATAAGCACACTTGAAGTAGGGATCATTTTAGTACCCTCATCACCCAACAGAGTGCCTCCATATAGTTGTTCAGAGGTGCCAGAGGGATGCCGGGAAGAAAGGGAAGGGAACCCGTAAACACAATTCACAATGGGAATCTAACCTCTAGGGGTTCGTGATTGATGAGGTGGCCTGGCATGGTGACTAAAAGCATGGACTCTGAGCCCAGTCTGCCAAGCTGATCGGCATCACCAGGACTCACGTTGGGTTCACTCTGAGTCCCCAGGCTACTGGGCAGGACCCACCTGACTAGTTTTGGCCAGTGTGCCGTAAACAGAAGTGACATGTCACTTTCAGACCAGAGCATTTAATTGCTAGTGTGAGACCCTCCAGCCCTTCTTCACCTGCCATAGCAGCAGGAGCTCATTGAATCCGTATGGTGCAGCTTCCAGATAGCGACGTCCTTCTCTGGTCTGGGTCACTGAGTGGCTACGGGAAGCAGAGCCCCTTTGCCAACCCATGATGAACGAATGGTTTGAGGGAGAAATGAATCTCTTTTGTTAAGATAATGTGGTTTGGGAGCTATCCCACCACATAATGGATCCTACCCTGATGAACACAGAGCTTCACAGTTTGCTCCTGTTTGACCCTGGGTGAGTCATGTCACCTCTCTGCATCTCACTGTCACCTCTGTGAAATGGATCAGTAAGACAGCCTATCCCATGTAAAGTGCTTGCAGAGTTCCTGGCACAGGAGCGCTCTGTCAGTGTTCACTTTTGTTAGCCTGGACAAAGGGGAGCAGTGGGCCTCTGCCCCTTTCTTTAGAGACGTCACAGAAGATGCCAACAATTGCCCTGGGATTATGAAGACTGCATGGAATCTGGAACGAGAAGATTTAGGTTAAAATCCCAGCAGGGCATCACAGAACTCGGTGATTCAGGTCAGGTCAGCAGACCCTTTGGGAGCTACCTTATCTTTTATCTGTAAAATGTGGGCACTCAGTGAGATGAGTTACACAAAAGTCCTTTGGAAACTGCCAAGTACTATGCAAATGTGAGCTGATTACTTCGGTCTGTTAACACTGGCAGAATCCCATCCCCACCCTGGGCAGCATCCCACACCAGTCACCTCACTGCCACATGCACCTCCCCCCTACACGTGTGCACCATGTGCTGGCCACCCCGGCAGCGGCCCGGTAAGAGGAGAACGTCCCCATCCAGCTGCACACTGCAGAGCTTACCTCATCTCTTCCAGTCCTACAACCAAAAGGCCAGCTCTCTGCAAAGCAGGAAACTTGGGGAGGAGAAAGATTGCTTATCTTGACTCACCTTCCCGTTCGTTCCCTCACAGTAATTAGCTGCACAGAGGCAGCCTCCCGGGGAGAGCGGAGCCCTCAGCTCCCAGAGCTCAGCCCCACAGCTTTGTCTTTTTGCTCCTCTCCACATAATACTGCTCTCTTGGTGGTCGCTATGCAAACACATCCTGCATTCATTTACAAACTGGGGGATGTTTCATACTTTGAGGCTCAGATTAATGTTCCACCTCCCCAGAAGAGACATTGGTGGGGGCTTCTTTTCAAATAGAATCCTGTCAACAGGCCGTGTCTGGCTCGCCAGTCCAGCTGTGGCCTGAGGGATGGTCAAAACCTGGCTCTTTGGAGCCTTCTCTCAAACAGATGCTTCACTGTGGTTAGTAGGAGTCAAAAGCTGAAGGCGCCTTGAGGGCCCATCTGCGCCAACCATGGACACAAAGCAGGAGCCCCTCTTCAGCCTTAGAAATGGGCTCACCATCAAGGCCATCAGGGGATCGGAGAGCAGGGTGGCTTTTTGTAGAGGCTGGACTTTGCAATCGGAATGTTTCGGCTTCTATCCAGCATCTCCAGGCACCGACTTGGTGCTTTTGGGAAAAATCATTTGCCATCTCCAGGTCTCAGGTTCCTCATTGATAAAAATGGTCTGTCCATTCATGCAAAAAATATCTATTGAACGTTTACCATGAGTCTGGTACTATTCCAAACCCTGGGGATACAGCAGGGAACAGCACAGAGTCCCTGCTCTCGTGGCACTTACCTTATAATGGAGGAAGATAGACAATAAACAAATAACTATATGCCAGATAGTGGTAGGTGCTAAGGAGAGACACAGAGCAGGGTAAGGGGGATAGCAAGGGATGGCAGAGGAGGTGAGGGGTATGATTTTACGTTGGGTGGTTAGAGAAAGCCTCTAAGGTAAGAGGACAGGTAGGCTGGGGAAAGAATATTCCAGGCAGAAAGAAAGCAACTGCAAAGGCCCTGAGGCAGAAATGAGTTTAGAGGATTCAAGGCCCAGCAAGGAGTCTGGCTGAGATGAGGTAGGAAATCCTGTTAGAGAGGGAGTGGAGCAGATCCTGTGAGGACGTGGAGGCCATTAAAAGGACGTTGGAGATTATTCTGAGATGGGAAAATGGAATAAGTTAAGCCATATGAAATTGCTGTTTTTGTAGGTCAGAAATGGTTGAACATCAGCAATTTTACATGGTGCATCCTAATGGATGTGAATGTGCAGCACTGTTAATTTATTATTGCCACTTTAAAAACCAGACTTTTCTATTATTTTGGCAGGATTAATTGGAAGATATTTCTTCCTTCCATTGAGCACAAATCTACCTTCTCGTGCTTTTCACCCAATGGCTATAATTCTGCCTTCACCCCCTCCCCAACAGCCCT